CGGATATCTGTTTTTCTAGTATATATTCGAGTATTCATGAATGAGTGTATCAGATTTAATACATGTTACCAATGTGTCATGGGATCTAATAACAAAATTAAATATTGTTCATGTGATATATTATCACTATTCAGATGCGCTAGTTCAAGGGGCAGGCAATTTTATCATCTAATAATTGTATAACAGATGGTAGAACAATTTATGCAATTCCGAAAATTTATATACGTATATTAATATAAAATTTTCTTCGAATTATTTAAACAAAATTTTCACATATATACATTGTTCTTTATTATGTTCGAGTATGATGTACAATTTTATTAATTTAGGACTGTAATTAAAATGATGTCATTTGCGAAATGTACCAGGTTGGTGACGTAGTATTATGATCTACGAATCAGCTTTCAAGATTAGGTGTAACGTAACATAATTCAAGAAGATTCAAAACTCACGTTCGTTCGCTCATAACTCCAAAATCAGCATAAGAAACCACCTTTTGTGCTCTAACAAAAAGGTTTCGTTGGACAATTTTATTATTAAAATTACTTCCCTCTAGTCCTTAACCCTGACCCTAACACTAACCTTAATGAATTTTAAGAATTTTGTCTGCGCCATCAGCCTGGTACGCATGTGACAGATCAGACATTATATAATATGACAAAGAAATGACGAGAAAAAAAAGAACAAAGAAAATATGAAACAACAAAATAAATCAATACTCCTTCAAATATTTAACACGTGGTCATATTTTGTTTATTTTATTGATCTAATTATTATTGTAAACGAGGGATTTATCAATAGTAATATAATTTATGTACAGTATAACCAAATATTTTTGTTTGTCGATATCACAATAACAATAATTAAGCTAATCATGGGATCAAAAACCAACTGTTTTTTCACCAAAAAAGTAATCACAATAAATTTATTATACAAATATCATGTAAATATTATGCAAACATCATGCATATATCATGCAAATAATCAAATGACCTTGTGTAAAAATAAAATTGCATTGAAAAATGATACCAATTAATACAAGAACTTCATATGTTTTATTTGTGATATGAGCTGTCAAAGTTTTTGATAGCATAACGTGACTATAATATAATTTTACCTTACGAAAGGAGGTTAAACTCTTCTCCTAAATGATTAGGTTAAACACGTGTATCTTTCATTATCGTCATATTTGGTTATTTACATAATTCTTTGATGTTTTAATTGGTTTATTTATGGAAAAAGCCCCTAGGCCTTTGGGCCTAGGTCTTTGAGGCATAGGCAGATTTTATTATATAAAGGCCCAACGTTCCGATCCATCCAGTCTTTTTTTACCAAGCATTATTTACCATAGAATTATCTTATATTCAATCATTGTTTACCATAGATTTGTTTTTCATAGATTCTCTAATAAAAAAAAAAAAAAAAAAAAACAAATGGCAGTACGCAATATTAATAACATTAATATCCAAGCACTCGCTAACCGAATCAGAATAATCACAAGGCTTAATCATCCTACACCTCGAAACACAGAAGAATTAGCAAGAAATTTCGATGGCAATAGCAAAGTCTCGGGCCTTGATGT